CTATTAGAAGTAATTTTGTTGTCTAGCAGGTTCCGGGGCGACCGTACTGCAGAAGGCAGCCGTCCGGATCATCAACAGCACAGTGTGCAAGAGTCTCCTGACCGACCCGGTGACCGACAACATGCTGTGTGCTGGAGTCCTCACAGGAGGCGTGGACGCCTGTCAGGTACAAACTCGAAGGCTTGTAATAGATGTTTGATTTAAAACAAATAAACTACATTTCTGTGTTTGTCACACTTTAATGTTTCACATCAAACAAATGTGAATATTAGACAAGATAACACACTTAAACACAAAATGCAGTCTGTAAACAAAGGTGTTAATTATTAAGCTGCATGGCCCTGTGTGAAACAGTGAACCTAGTAACTGGTTGGGCCACTCATGGCAGCAGCAACTGTAATCAAGCGTTTGCAATTAATAGCAATCAAAGTCATTTACAGCGCTGTGGAGGAAACCTGGCTCTTATCTTTGCAGAATTGTGGTAATTCAGCTACACTGGAGGGTTTTCTTTCTAAGGTCACGCCACAGCATGTCAGTCAGATTCATGTCAGGACTTTGACTACTCCACTCCACAGTCTTCATTTTGTTTGTCTTAAGACATTCAGAGGTGGACTTGCTGGTTTATCTTGGATCATTGTCCTGCAAAACCCAAAAGTATTGGTATAATGTTCCTTTTCTGAAATGCTGTTACTTTAACGGCAGATGTTATGGGACACACGCCTCCCAAAAAGTCACAGAGTGTTTTTCCAAAAGTCCCAAAAAAGGGGATCATGAAGATATTTCCTGGCAAAACTCAGACAAGCTTTGATTTTTCCCCGTCTCTTTCTTATGGTGGAGTCATGAACTCTGACCTTAACTGAGAGAAGTGAGGCCTGCAGTTCTTTAGATGTTGTCCTGGGGTCCTTTGTGACCTCTTTGATGAGCCGTTGCTCCGCTCTTGGGGTAATTTTGGTCGGCCAGTCATTCCTGGGAAGGTTCACCACTGTTCCATGTTTTCACCCTTTGTGTATTAATGCTCTCACTGTGGTTCGCTGGAGTCCCACAGCTTAGCGGTTTGAGGTTGACACTTGATTGCATCTTCTGATCTGTCTTATCTGCAGAGCAATTACTGCCCATTTTTGATTTGGCTCTGTAGAAAAGACTAAACAAAGATAGAAAACTGCAAAAAAGCACGTCTAAACAGTCAAAACATTTTTACATTTTAATTTAACGGTTAATATGTCCTTTTTTAATGCTTATTGGGACTCACAGAAAACCTCCAAGCTGAGAATAATCTCTCTCCTCTCTGATTCTCAGGGCGACTCTGGTGGACCCCTGTCTTTCACCAGCACCAAGGGGCGGGTCTTCCTGGCTGGTGTGACGAGCTGGGGCGAAGGCTGCGCTCGCAAAAACAAACCTGGCATCTATACCCGAGTTACCAAATATCGCAACTGGATAAAAGAAAATAGTGGAGTGTAGGAACGGGAACGTGCACAGGTTCTCTGGATTACGGGTGTTTCTCTTGGATTCACTGTGGAAGCACCAAAACGGGTCTGC